ACATGCAGTGTTGACTAACCTCAGGAGTCATAGAGTTCCATAGCCACGTCATAATAAGTGAGTCTTCATCATCCCAATCAGCAAATGTTGGAGCTGTTTTGGCAGGAACAGGTCCTTCAATATGAGCAACTTTACGACGTCCTTTGAGAATGGTACGAACGACCTGGGACCATTGTAAATAATTCTTTCCATTCAGAAGATAATTCTGATGAAGAGCAGGAAGATCATTGGGACCAAGAGGTGTCACCAAAGACTGTGTAGAAGAATTTGTGTTTGCAAGGGTTGATTCAGTTTCAGTGTCGGAGGCCATACTGCAAAAAACTAGTCAAAGAAAAGCTCCAAGAAGCCAAAAAATACGGAAAAAATACCAAACGACTCCGATCAGAGGGGAAAGCACAGATCCAGAAAGAGGATGAAGAGACGATCAGAACGGAAGTGGTCTGCGGCTGAGAATCAAAGCCACGCGCCGGTGAAGCTGTCGGCGCGTGGGTGTCACTCGCGGTGAAGATGGTGGCGTGTGTGGGCGCGTGCGGCGGCTTCCCGGGCTGAGCTTTCTGCGGTGAGGTCGTCTAAGGAGCGCGAACCTATCTGGGCCTGATCGAAGTTGAAAGGTTGCCAGAAAAAGTCCAAAAACGCGATGAGCAGTTCTGTTGTGTTGAAACGCGATGAACAGGATCCATCGATGTTGTTTTGGTACTGTGTAAAGAGGAAAATAAGAGGAACAGTGATCTTCTCGGTCCAAGAGGTCCCCAGAAAATTTTTCCGGTTGCGGCTGATAGGGGTGTTCATCAACCGATCCAAACCGATTCAAACCGTGAAAACCGAACCGAAAAACCGATAACCGAAAACCGAAAAACCAAAAACTGAAAAAACCGTAAATTTTAATTGGATTGGATCGGTTTTCGGATGGGTTGATGAAAACTGATCCAATCTAAACCGATCCAATATATTAATTCTCCTCTACCTATTTGGTCTTTTCCCTAATTATATCCCAAAAATTTCTAAACCCATGACCTATTAACTCATCAACTAAACCCAAGAAAAAATTTAGTCACGTCTTATCAACTATAGTATTGTTTACTGATATTTTTGTATTTCGATTTTTTTTTTACAAAGCCAATATATACAAAAGATGTTATTTGCACAATAATCATGAAACTAATTTTAGGATATTCAAAAAACTGAAAACCTATCCAATCCAAACTGAAAAAAATTGGATTGGATCGGATTTGAAAAAAATCTAAACTGAATGGATGATTAAATGATCAAACCGAAGGGATTGGATCAGATGAATTTTGCTTCGAAAATCGATCCAATCCAGACCGCGAACACCCCTAGCGGTTGATGGCAGCGAGAGACGAAAAAAGAATAAAAAAGGTTTCGTAGGCGCGGAAGCAGAGCCCTTAGGATCGAGAGCTCTGATACCAACTTGAAAAAGGGTATTCTGATATATTATTGAATTGTGTTAATAATCTGATACAAAGAGTTCTCTATTTATAGAGAATAAAAGACCTAATTCTTGACCTAATGAGTTTGGCCCAATACAAAAAATAATAATAAATAACTAATATTTACAACAGAATGCAATCGAAAATGTGAAATTTGAGGAATCCTACTTGGTTGGAAAATGGAGCGTGAAAAAATGGAAAAATTTCAGACAAATCTGCCCTTCATCATATCTCAGTTGAAAAACGTCAACTCAAGGTTAATTGTGTAAATTCGTTGAAATTCCCAGCAATATTTTACTATTAACCAAACATATTTTTACGACGGAGCAGAACAAGGATTCGTGAGGAAGAGAAGAGCAGAGAATCATTCTCCGTTCCTCCTAGTAATTTTATTTTGAATTCTATTTTATAATTTTATGTCAGCCATGTCTATGACTGGCTAATTTCTTTTATTGTAGTTAGGGTCACAAACCCTATGTGAACCCTTTTTACGCTGGATTGATTATTTTCGCTCGTTTATTTTAATATATTTTATTTTTACCTTGTGCGTATTGATATTATTTCTGTTAGACTTGATCAACCTAATAGGAGATAATAATTTGGAAATTAGGGCTCGCAATAGGAATATTGGGGTTTTTGATTCTGAAAGGGGGTAAGGTAACAATTTATGCATGCTCTAGGGATAGACTTGTGTGAATTGCAGTCGTTTGATTTATCGTGATTAATGCTTAATTTCATGCGGGATTGCTAAGGGATTAGGATTCTAATTGAATTAAAGGGTTAGATTGTCAAGGGATTGAGATTTAACTAATTATTTTAGATGATAATTTGTCTGAGTTATTAAATTGAATGAACATTGTCAATCAATCCAATGTTTAAAGTGGGGATCATATGGTGCGTGTACCTTAGCTGCAATGCCTTTTATTATTCTTTCAAAAATCCAAAAGTTAACCATTGTTATTTAAATTGAAATTTTATATTTTAAAATTCTGTCTTTATTTTACCATCAATTCAATATTTTTGAAAAATAACCGAGTTTTCCATTCTTGAAAGGACTAGTAATTGATATACGATCGCAATCCCTATGGAGACAAACTTTTCTTATCATTATATTACTTGTGCGATCGGTATACTTGCCGGTAAGCATCACCTACCCCTTTTATCACCGTTGGATTACAATCTAATCCAACGGTCCATAATTGCGAAATAAAATAACTCTTTTTTTGCCTTTCTCTCTTCTCACTTCCTCCCACACCCTTTCTTTCTCCTATCCTTTCTCTCTTCCTTTGCGATCCGGACACATCCTTTTGATCTCTCGATGCCTATTTTTTTTCCTTTATCTCTGATCTCTGCCGAGGTGAACGTGCGCGGAAACATTATGCGATTCATCGTCCACATCATTTGAAATCATCGTCCTTATCAGGTTTATTTTCGCCCTCTTTCAGAAGCTGCTTCACAATGAACTTGAGAATTGCACTTGTGGATGCAAACAAAGCACATAACTTATTTTGGTTTACGAGATTCTATGGCCGCGTGCATAGAATTCAAGGTTTTGATGGCAAAGAATGAAAAGTGATTTTGTACCTTCCTACTTACATGAATAATGAAGGAACCCAAAGATTGTAGATTATCAATTCTACAATTGTACAGTCTATTGTAATCTGGTAGTCTAGAAAAATTTCTTCTTTTTCTTCACAATCAAGAATCGCCTTTTAAAAAGAAGGTCAAAAAATAAAATAAAAAAATACCTACTTACATGAATAATGAAGGAACCCAAAGATTGTAGATTATCAATTCTACAATTTTAGATTATCAATTCTACAATTCTACAGTCTGTTGTAATCTAGTAGTCTAGAAAAATCTCTTCTTTTTCTTCACGAATCAAGAATTGCCTTTTAAAAAGGTCAAAAAAAAAAAAAAACCTGATAAGAAAGATGATTTCAAATGTTGTGGTCGATGAATCACATAATGCTTCCGCGAGCGTTCACCTCGGCAGAGATCAGAGATAAAGGGAAAAAAATAGGTATCCAGAGATTGTGTCTTGGATCGCAGAGGAAGAGAGAAAGGGGAGGAGAGAGAAAGGGTGTGGGAGGAAGTGAGGAGAGAGAAAGAAAAAAAAAGGTTATTTTATTTCGCAATTATGGACCGTTGGATTAGATTGTAATCCAACGGTGATGAAAGGGGTAGGCAAAAGGTAGGCAAGAAGGGAGTAGGTAGAATTACCTATCTCATATATAATATGGGAAAAATATTTCTTCAGTCATGGAGATAACATTATCTCCAGTGAGTTCAAAACGACGTTGTAATATATTAAAATTACAAAAACAGCTTGGTTTCAACCTGAAAATGATATCGTTTTGGCTCACCGGAGATAACTTATCTCCACTGGAGAAATTCTTTGCCCATATAATATAGATGATAACCTCTTACAACCATATCTTAACAGTTTATTTTCGTTAATCAACGGTTATAATTTATTATGAATTAATATTTAATTAACGAGTTTAATTTGTGAAAATATTAAATATTAATTCATAATAAATTATAACCGTTGATTGACGAAAATCAACTGTTAAAGATATGGTTGTAAGATGTTGTAAACAAAAATAGGTGATAAGTATAACCTTATACTATAATATAAAAAGTTAAAAAGTCTTCCCCGGTTTAAAATTCATCCATGTTTTACATCAATAACAATAATAACAAATTTAATTGGTGGGTTCCGAGAAGCATAAAATCATATTTGTTGGTCCTTAGAAGAAATAAAAAAATAAACACACCTCTAATCCCCCCATCGATTGCATGTATGGAATAATGCATCAGCATAACCGAAAATGGCAAAAAGGAAAAAGAAAGAGAGGAACTCATTTTAAATAATAATTGAGAAATTAGAGGTGACCTCTTCAACGAGTCATTCAGAGAGCCTTAGGGCCATGATCTCAGTTTGTTCTTTTGATAATTCCCTATCCTTATTTGCAAATACAATCAAAGCCTAATAGAATAAGCAAAATGTAGCTGCAAAGAAATATATTTAAATCAACTTGATATAACATTTACAACAAAATTAGTTATCCCTTCAACGCAAGATAAATTTGTTTCAGCTTCATAATCTCAGTTATACCTATGCAAAAGAACAGAGTGTGACATTGAAGAAAGTGATAAGAGTGAATAAACAAATTATGCTTGAGTAGCTACTCAAGCAGAGGGCGGGTATTATGCACCGCACACAAATTCCGAATTTGGCGTAGCAGTGTGCCAAAAAATATGTGTGTTTTGCTTTCTTCTCAACAAACACACTTCTAAAAAACCGGAAATAAGACCCTTGAAAATAGCATAATGATGGACTCGGTCTCTCACCATAAATCCATCTTCTAACATTCTCAACTCTCATTCTTATTCCTCATTATAGTTATAGCGCAAATGGAGGTGGGTTTTCCAATTTGGCTTTTGTAGAGTCTAATTCATCATCTTACCATGGCAAATACGTTACATGTAGATTTTCTAAGTTGGTAGAAAGTTAAATATTAGGTGTAGGCAATTAGAAACAATAATATGGCTTCATTGACAAGCCAAGGTTCAAAGAAGTCTCAACGTAATCCTGTAGGATCAGGATCAGGATCAGATAGTTCTCAAGCCCGTAATGTAAAGTTTGCAAGAAGAACTTCAAGTGGGAGATATGTGAGTTTATCAAGAGAGGACATTGAAATGTCTTCAGAAATATCAGGGGACTATATGAGCTACACTGTTCATTTACCTCCTACCCCTGATAATCAACCTATGGACACGTCCGTTGCAATGAAAGCTGAAGAACAATATGTTTCCAATTCTTTATTTACCGGCGGTTTCAACAGCGTTACCAGAGCCCATCTTATGGACAAGGTCATTGATTCTGAAGTGAATCATCCTCAAATGGCTGGGGCAAAAGGCTCTAAATGTTCAATTTGTGATGGCAAGGTCATGAAGGATGAAAGAGGACATGATGTCGCTCCATGTGAGTGTAGGTATGTACCAATATTATCATGTAATATCTTAAATAAATAAGATATCATCTATTAGATATTGTAACATTTTATCCTTTTTTTAACTTAAATTTTTCCGTACTTTTCATTTGGGTTCATCTGTCATTGACCCCAATTAGTTTGGGATAAAGGTGATATTGATATTGATGTTGTTACACAAGCTAACTAAATTATGAAATGATTTGAATTTAGGTTCAAGATTTGCAGAGACTGCTTTATAGATGCACAAAAAGAAACTGGTCTATGTCCTGGTTGCAAGGAGCCATACAAAGTAGGGGAATATGAGGATGAGCCTCCAGATTATTCAAACGGGGCACTGCCATTACCAGCACCAAATGGCTCCAAACGGAATCCAAACAACATGCATGTTATGAAGAGGAATCAAAATGGAGAATTTGACCACAATAGGTGGTTGTTTGAGACACAAGGTACCTATGGTGTTGGCAATGCTTATTGGCCCCAAGATGACATGTATGGAGATGGTGGTGATGATGGCCTACAAGGAGGAATGATAGATCCAGGGGATAAGCCTTTTAAACCGTTAAGCCGTAAAACGCCAATTCCATCTGCAATCATAAGTCCTTACAGGTTAGATTTTTATTGTGAATAATTTTATCTTATGTTCCCTGAAATAACACATCTCAATCACCTGACCAAGTCACATGATCATATTGTAATTACAATGAATTACATGATCAAATCTAATTGTAATTCTGCTTCTTCAGGTTGCTTATTTTTGTTCGGTTAGTAGTATTGGCCTTCTTTTTGCATTGGAGAGTGAGGAATCCAAATGAAGATGCAATATGGTTGTGGCTTATGTCAGTTACTTGTGAGATATGGTTTGCTTTCTCATGGATACTTGATCAGGTTCCCAAGCTTTGCCCTGTGAATCGTTCAACTGACCTTGGTGCTCTTCATGACAAATTCGATAGTCCTTCTCCATCTAATCCCACAGGGAGATCTGATCTACCTGGTGTAGACCTCTTTGTGTCCACTGCTGATCCTGAGAAGGAGCCACCTTTAGTCACTGCCAACACCATTCTTTCCATATTATCAGTTGATTACCCTGTGGAGAAACTTGCATGTTATGTTTCTGATGATGGAGGTGCTCTCCTGACTTTTGAGGCCATGGCTGAGGCTGCGAGTTTTGCTGATTTATGGGTTCCCTTTTGTCGAAAACACAACATTGAGCCAAGGAATCCGGAGACTTACTTCAGTTTAAAAGTTGATCCTACCAAGAACAAAAGCAAACAAGATTTTGTGAAGGATAGAAGAAGGGTCAAGAGGGAGTATGATGAGTTCAAGGTGCGCATAAATGGCCTTCCAGATTCCATCAGGAGAAGATCAGATGCATTTAATGCTAGGGAGGAAATGAAGATGATGAAGCACATGAAAGAGAGTGGAGCTGACCCTTCTGAGCCTGTCAAAGTCTCCAAGGCCACTTGGATGGCTGATGGCACCCACTGGCCTGGTACTTGGACTTCTGCTTCTAGTGAACATTCAAGAGGTGACCATGCTGGAATACTTCAGGTACCTCACCAGTTTCTCTTCCTTTTGACCAACCACATACACGAAATGAATCCTCTCATGTACTATTTAATACAACGAGGTTACACTCGTTCATAGACAAATCAATGATCAAGAACATTAAGAGTGTAACTTATACCCTGTTAAAATATTTCTGACAATATATATATATATATATATATATATTAACACTGGTGTAAGACTTAAAAGTCTTACTTCTTGTCTTAACAGTTAATTTACTAAGTTATACCAATTACATGGACAGATATCAACTGCTGAGTTGAGGAGTAAGACAATTTTAAGTTGGAGTAAAAAAAATCTCTTTTCATATATATATATATATATATATATATATATGGGCATATCATAATTTAACTAATATGTGTATGTGTAATATATATTGATAGGTGATGCTGAAGCCGCCAAGTCCGGATCCGTTAATGGGCAGTGCAGACGACAAGATTATAGACTTCGCAGAGGTAGATACGAGGTTGCCAATGTTTGTGTATGTTTCTCGGGAGAAGAGGCCAGGTTATGATCACAACAAGAAAGCCGGTGCGATGAATGCACTGGTTCGAACATCTGCAGTTCTGTCAAACGGGCCATTCATTCTAAACCTTGATTGCGATCACTACATCTACAATTGCAGGGCAATACGTGAAGGGATGTGTTTCATGATGGACAGAGAAGGCGAGGACATATGTTACATTCAGTTCCCACAAAGATTCGAAGGAATTGATCCCTCAGATCGTTATGCCAATCACAACACTGTGTTCTTTGATGGAAACATGCGAGCACTTGATGGTGTTCAAGGTCCAGTTTATGTGGGAACTGGATGCATGTTCAGAAGGTTTGCATTGTATGGATTTGACCCACCCAATGTGGATAAGGACAAGAAAAAGAGTAGTGGAGGCTCTGAGGAAACAGCACCAGCATTGAATGCTAGTGAGTTTGATCCAGATCTTGATGTTAACCTGTTGCCAAAGCGGTTTGGTAATTCAACCGTTCTTTCTGAGAGCATACCTGTGGCTGAGTTCCAAGGTCGTCCTCTTGCGGATCATCCTGCTGTTAAATATGGACGTCCACCTGGTGCTCTCAGGGTCCCTCGAGAACCACTTGATGCAAGTACTGTAGCTGAAGCTGTCTCTGTCATTTCTTGTTGGTACGTAGCTTATACCTGATTTGGATCCAATATAGCATTGTATGTGTATACTATTAGATGAAAACAATTTAATTAATTTGTTAGCAAAACTAATTAAAGATGTGTAACATATTATGTATACATAGGTACGAGGACAAGACAGAATGGGGAGACAGAGTGGGATGGATTTATGGGTCAGTAACAGAAGATGTGGTCACAGGGTATCGCATGCACAACCGTGGATGGCGTTCAGTGTATTGCATAACAAAGAGAGATGCATTTCGAGGATCAGCACCAATAAACCTCACTGATAGACTACACCAAGTTTTGAGATGGGCCACAGGTTCTGTTGAAATCTTCTTCTCTAAGAACAATGCCTTCCTTGCTAGTAGGCGTCTCAGGCTTCTCCAACGCTTAGCATACCTCAATGTTGGCATTTACCCTTTCACTTCCCTCTTCCTTGTTGTATATTGCTTCCTCCCTGCACTCTCCTTATTCTCTGGATTCTTCATTGTCCAAACTCTCAGTATTGCATTCTTAATCTACTTGCTTACCATCACAATATGCCTAGTGATTCTGGCAATTCTTGAGGTTAAATGGTCAGGTGTGGAGTTAGAACAATGGTGGAGGAATGAACAGTTTTGGCTCATTTCAGGAACAAGTGCTCATTTGGCTGCTGTGGTGCAAGGACTCCTTAAGGTGGTAGCCGGTATTGAGATTTCTTTTACTTTGACATCCAAATCTGGAGGGGAGGATGATGAAGATATATATGCAGATTTGTATATAGTTAAGTGGAGCTCATTGATGATTCCACCAATTGTTATTGCTATGATGAATATTATAGCCATTGTGGTTGCATTTGCAAGGACCATTTATAGTGCAAACCCACAATGGAGTAAGTTCATTGGAGGAGCATTCTTCAGTTTCTGGGTGCTTGCTCATTTGTACCCTTTTGCTAAAGGGTTGATGGGGAGGAGAGGGAAGACACCAACCATTGTGTTTGTTTGGTCAGGTCTTATTGCAATTACCCTTTCTCTGCTTTGGATTGCCATTAGCCCACCTAAGGGTGCTGATGGACAAGGTGGGGGAGATTTCCAGTTTCCATGAAATGTTAGATATTGAGTGCTTTGATTTCATCTTAATATATGTAATATAGTAATGTATCTTTTGTAAACTTCCACATGACATGTCTTGAATACATGTGATTAGTTTTAGAGATACTTTAAAAAGGGTTAGAGTGATATGAAGGGGAAAAAATTACTTAGTGAATTAGTATTTACTTGATGATTCATGTTTATAATATGATGGAGTACGTGGTGTAAGTTCATATCCTATACACTTTATGTTGGTAAAAGAAGGTGATCTAAGTTCGCATCCTATACATTTTGTGCTGCTAAAAAGAAGAATGCAAGAATTTCTCTTAAGGAAAAGCACAAGAAAAATTTGAAAATATAATCTCATGTGTATTCTTAGCCTTCTTGAAGGTTGCAACAATTGGTATTGTAGTTTTATAAAGAATGAGAACAGGGACATTAGGGCCATGGTGCAACAATTTCTTGAAGCTTATCATTAGGAGGAGTAAACTCAATATTCTGAGTCTGAACCATTTTTTTTTTTAACTTGTAATTAGTAACTTTATGAAAAAGTGTAACACATGGGTCTTGTTAGAATTAAAGTATGCAGTTGTTGTAGTTGCAGCATTGTCATTTCTAAATGCTTTGTTAAATCTTTATATTTTAGTTTAAGCATGAATTTGTTAGAGGTTGTATGTCATTTTGTGAATTAATTTACCTACAAAGCATTTACTTTTAACCCCTTAAAATTTTGAGAAAAATGTTTATCCTTTTAAATGACACAACTTATATACTTTCACTCTCACAAAGAGGTGGGACCCACACCTTTATTTTTTTTGCCAACTCTCTCTCCTCCTTTATCTATCTCTTTCTCTCTTTTAAAATGACACAACTTTACATCCTTTAAAATGACACACACTTTATCCTAAAATTTTAGTTCAAGTTTCCATTGGATGTTCAGTTTGTCCTTTGAATCTATAACAACAATCAAATGGTTTAAGAGATTCTAGTATATTTGGACTCAAATCAACTGTATGTAGTAATGCTACACGTCATTTAAATTAAATATAAATTGTAGCAGAAACAAATGGATCATTATCTTCCCTATGCTTTATATTTTCGTGAACATGTACATTGTATCTGCATAAAAATAATGTCACATAGAGATCAAGTTTAACATAACAACCTCACTGTTATGGACCTGGGAAAGGCCCATAATACGAGAAGCCCAACCAGCACGAGCCTAAAGGTAAGCTCTATAAATAGGAGTTAAAGACCACAAGTATGACTGATCTCTCGAATCCTATTTTATGCAACCACGACAGTGTACACACACACCCCTTCTGACTAAGGCCATCGTATAAGTGTGTAGTGATTCGTTTTACAAGAGTCATCAAACTCAAGCCCAAATCAAAAGACAACTGATCCAGGCCCACAGTATCAAACACAAAACAACTTCCGGGTTCCACACAATACCAAGCCACGTGGGACCAATCATAATAGATAAACCAAATCTGCTTCAGTTAATTGTTGAGTTTGTTAGAATTTGTTAGTTAGTTAGAGTTTGTTAATTAGCGCTGAACCTTCCAGCTTTACTTTGTAATTATAAATAGCCATATGTAATTCATTTAGTTCAATTAATGAGAATGAGGAACTTTTCAACTTCAAGATGGTATCAGAGCTCACATTGAGCTCTGGTACTCTGCTTTGAAGATTTTCGTTTTTTTTTCTATCACTTTTCTTCATCGTTCTTCTTCTCAACCAAACTCACGATCATTGCCATGGCAAATCTTGTTGCAATTCCAGATCCACAAACAAATCCTTCTCATCCTTTGTTTCTACATCCAAATGAGAGTCCTGCTTTGGTTTTAGTTTCACCGCCTCTAAATGGTGAAAACTATCATTCCTGGGCTCGAGAAATGAGAGGATCATTGATTTCTAAGAATAAGCTAGGCTTCATTGATGGAAGTATTCCTGCACCGAATCAACATGAACCTACGTTTGCAGCATGGCAACGATGTGACACAATGGTGATGGCCTGGATTCAAAGATCCATATCTGAATCCATAGTGAAATCAATCATATGGATTGAACATGCTCGTGATGCTTGGCTTGATTTGCAAGAACGATTTTCTCAAGGAGATGTATTTCGAATTTCAGACTTGCTGGAAGAAGCTTTTCGTCTGAATCAAGGAGACAGATCTGTCACTGACTACTACACACATCTCAAAACGGTATGGGATGAATTAGATAACCTCAAACCTCTTCCTAATTGTGTTTGTGCAGTTCCATGTGTATGTGGAGCAATTACAAGGATGAGAGAATATCGTGAACAAGAACAGGTTATACGATTTTTAAGAGGATTGAATGATCAATTTGCTTCTGTAAGGTCTTAAATCATGTTGATGAGTCCACTGCCTAACATAAATAGATCATTTTCACTCGTTTCTCAACAAGAAAGACAGTTCAAATTGGATAGTCATGTCACTGATACAAGTCAGTCATCAGTTTTTCATGTGACAAATACACCATCAAGCTATCGAAGATGTGGTCCTAGTTATGGAGGAAGGTTTACTGGTAGAGGACGAGGCAGAAACTTTGGTGGTAGATCTCAAACCAACCGCATATGCACTCCCTGTGGAAGAAGCAATCATACAGTTGAAACATGTTATCAACTACATGGCTTCCCACCAGGTTACCGTACAAACAATAGAATCCCTAATACAAATGTTGCAAGCACAGATCCAAGAATTTTCAATCAGAAGTTGCAGTTCAAGGTCAGAACCTTATATGCACATGACCAGAAATGAATACCAGCAGTTAATGGAGCTTCTACAAAAGTCTCCTTCCACTGATCTTGGTAATGCACCAGCAACAGCTCATGTAAGCAATGTGGCTCAAATTTCCAGCATGAACACAACAGAAAGGAAAGAACTGACAGGTAGCCCAAATACTCAATGGATTGTGGACACAGGTGCAACAGATCACATTGCACATTCCATTTCTGATTTTTCCACAATTCATATCACCACTCCTTTACCAGTAATCCTCCCAAGTGGCTCTCACATCTATGCACATTATTCTGGCACCATTTGCTTAACACCTACTTTAATTCTTCATGATGTCCTTTATATTCCACAATTCCATGTCAACCTGATTTCTGTATCAAAACTTGTTACAACCATTAACTACTCATTCACCTTTGATTCTAAATTGTGCTTCATTAAGCAGATGCCATCACAGAGGATGATTGGTAGAGCTGAAAGGAGAAATGGCTTATACATGATAATCAATAAAGCTTCCCAGAATTCAAGTAAGACAAATAGCAGCTGTGGAGCTACAAGAAGTAATGTAGATGAATCTCTTCTTTGGCATAGAAGATTGGGACACCTCTCAAATGATGGACTACAAAGAATGTCTTTGTATTTTCCTTTTATCCTTCCACACATGTAACTCCATATGATATATGTCATTTAGCAAAGCAACGAAAGCTTCCTTTTAGTTCCAGTGAGACTAAAACCAGTAAATTTTTTGATTTGGTGCATACAGACATCTGGGGCCCTTTTTCAACTACATCAATAAATGATCATCGTTTCTTTCTTACTGTTGTTGATCATTATTCACGTTTTACATGGATTTTTCTTATGAAAAGCAAAAGTGAAACTAGACAGCATATTCATGATTTTGTAGCCTTTGTTGAAACACAATTCAACACTTCCATTAAGTCAATTCGAAGTGATAATGGAATTGAATTTGCTATGAATGATTTTTACAAGAAAAAGGGAATTCTCCACCAAACTAGTTGTGTTGAGACTCCACAACAGAATGGTTTAGTAGAACGAAAGCATCAACATTTGTTAAATGTAGCTCGTGCATTTTTATTTCAAGCTAACTTGCCACTCACATTATGGAATTATGCCATTCTTCATGCTGCACATATTATCAATCTTCTATGTTCACCTCTTCTGGCCAACCAAACACCATATCGGAGATTATATGGAATGCCCTCATTGCTGATTCACCTACGGGTTTTTGGCTGTTTATGCTATGGTTCAACCTTGCTAGCTCATCGCACCAAATTCACTCCTCGAGCTCACAAAGATGTGTTCTTGGGATTCAAAGAAGGAACAAAAGGGTACATCTTATATGATCTAAACTCTAGAGAAATTTTTATCTCAAGGAATGTAGTCTTTTATGAAACACATTTTTCATACCAACCGAATCATACCACACAAAACACACCTTCAAGTTTATCTGAAATAAGCCATCCGAATGAACCTCCTTATGACAGTTTTCTTCCCTCCACACAGCCACCTAACCTCCCACATTCACCATACCTTATGCCAGATGTAACCATATCTCCCATTCCCACACAAACTCATATCCCATCAACCATTCCACATACCATACCTAACCTACCACATTTCTTACCTCCTTCTGATTCAAACACCTTACCTAACATCCATGACACGCAACCAACCTCAGAACATGCCACCTCATCCAACATCAATGACACAAACAACACAGATGGCAATCTTCGCCGCTCCTCACGGGTTCGAGTACCTCCAAATTATCTTGTTGATTATCATGTTGGGCTCTCCACAGCTTCCAAGAGTCCTCCAAGTAGTTCCACATTTCCCACAAGGTATCCCCTATCCAATTTTATTTCATATGATACTTGTACTCCCCATTATCATCACTTTTGTTTGACATCTTCATCCCACACTGAGCCACACACATATATACAAGCTGCCAAATTCACACATTGGCTGCAAGCAATGGAGAAAGAATTACATGCTTTGAAACTGAACAATACTTGGGTGATGGTACCATTACCTGCTGGAAAACAAACAATTGAGTCAAAATGGGTTTTTAAGATTAAATATCAATCCAATGGATCCATTGAAAGGTACAAGGCAAGATTAGTTGCCAAAGGCTTTACACAGCAAGTGGGAGTCGATTATTTTGATACATTCTCCCCAGTTGCTAAGCTAACTTTCGTACGCACATTGCTTACCATAGCTTCTATCAAAGGTTGGTTCCTCGAACAGTTGGATGTAGATAATGCTTTTCTACACGGAGACCTCAATGAAGAGGTTTACAGGGATCCTCCCTCTGACCTCTCCTCTTCTGGAAATCTTGTTTGTAAGCTCCAGAAGTCATTGTATGGGCTTAAACAAGCCAGTCGTCAATGGCATGCAAAGTTGTCTTCCGCTCTTCTGTCCTTGGGATACACTCAAGCACAGGAAGATCATTCGATGTTCACACTCAGAACTGAGTCCTCCTTCACAGTCCTTCTGATTTAGGTTGATGATGTCGTTTTATCTGGTGACTGCATGACTGAAATACAGCGGGTTGAAGACTATCTTCATGACCATTTTCGCATCAAGGACCTTGGCAAGCTACGTTATTTTCTTGGCTTAGAGATTGCACGTTCCAAATCTGGCATACTTCTTAACCAACGGAAATATGCATTGGAGTTACTGACAGATGCTGGACTTTTGGCTGCAAAGCATGTCCCCACTCCCATAGTACCAGTTTCATCTACCACTCAGGCTCAAAGTCCTCTCCTATTAGATCCTACAGTCTACCGCCGATTGATTGGAAGAATTTTATACTTAACTACAACCAGACCAGACATTGCATATGTTGTTCATCATCTAAGTCAGTTTGTTCCATCTCCGTGTGCTCATCACCTTACAGCTGCTCACCGGGTTCTACGGTACTTGAAGAATGCCCCAGCCAATGGGGTGTTTTATCCTTCTCATGGTTCCTTTTCTATACGAGCATTTGCTGATTTCGATTGGGCATCTTGTCCTCTTACCCGTAAGTCTGTTACAGGCTTTTGTGTTTTCATAGGAGATTCGTTAGTGTCTTGGCGTTCTAAGAAGCAGACAACTATCTCTCGTTCATCTTCAGAAGCAGAGTACAGAGCTCTAGCCAGCCTATCTTGTGAATTGCAATGGTTCCAATATCTTTTCCAAGATCTTGGCTTATCCTGGCACACTGCCTCTGTCTATTGTGACAATCAATCCGCTATATATCTTGATCACAATGCCACATTCCATGAGTGTTCTAAACACATTGACATTGACTGTCATGTTACTCGAGACAAGATACGTTCTGGTCTAGTCCGACTTCTTCCTGTATCTTCAGCTCATCAAATCGCAGATGTTTTTACCAAGCCACTACACTCCTCCACGTTCATTTCTGGTATTTCCAAGCTGGGACTGGTAAATATACTCAGTCCAGCTTGCCGGGGGCTCTTACAAGAGTCATCAAACTCAAGCCCAAATCAAAAGACAATTGATCCAGGCCCACAATATCAAACACAAAACAACTTCTGGGTTCCACACAATACCAAGCCACGTGGGACCAATCATAATAGATAAACCAAATCTGTTTCAGTTAATTGTTGAGTTTGTTAGAATTTGTTAGTTAGTTAGTTAGAGTTTGTTAATTAGCGCTGAACCTTCAAGCTTTACTTTGTAATTATAAATAGCCATATGTAATTCATTTAGTTCAATTAATGAGAATGAGGAACTTTTCAACTTCAAGAATTCGCTCTCCCCAAGATACCAGAGAGAAAACTCTAAATCCAATATCAAATACCCGACTTACGGTCGGACATTTCTGCCTCAGGCAGAACACTCACCATTCATAGAAATCAACTTTTCAATTTCATCACGAATCTGATAGACTGATAATATGTAGTTCTGTTTCTTTCTTCAATTAGTTGCTGTTGTTTGTAATTTAATTTTGATATAATTCGTAATGCCCTTTAGAGATATACGCATGTTGAAGAACCTTTTCCCTTTCTTTCTGTCTTATACAAACCATAATCAACCATATAATTTATTTTGGAAATATGTGTTTTGAATGAAAACTGGGAAATTTGGATCTTCTTGAGATAAAAATTGAGCTAGGCATGTATGATATCTCGATATGTCATTTATAATTTCTCAAGCAAGCCCAGAAATATTAAACGTACGAATTGAGTCATCAACATTGTGCAGAAATAATATTTTATTTGGCAATGTGTTATGGCCCAACTTAAGGGCCCACCTTCTAGAAGGCAAGAAGGACAAACAATTAAAAGAAAAGTTTGAAAAGAATCTTACGAGAATATCGATCCGATCAAGTAATGAGCCCCAATATTTATAAAAGATCTAATTAGCTACAACTAAACTCTTTATAAATAGGAGGCAAAGTTTACAATTATGCATTTTTGAACTCTCTCTCTCAGCTGCTCTCCCACCTCACATTTTGGTTAAGTTGTTCTACTACAGTGCACATTAATTAGCTAATTTCTATGGTATCTTTTTTATAAATATTTAAGAAATAACATACAGATCCAACAGTGACTTACCGATCAATAGATTGGTTATCTCAATAACCCCGATCAAACACAATATTTTATAAAAAATAAAAAATCATTCATAATTAAACTCGAATAGCGAGGGTGAAGTGAGATGAGGATAATATTTATATGCAATCTTAATATTATATATTTAACATTATTTTATATAACAAAAAAAAATATATACCATTTGAATGTTTGATTTGATTTATTTTCTTAAGGATACGATTTGAGGTAGTCACGGTTCGGAACAAATCTTCCAGAATTGCAACCAAAGAGTCAAAAGGCCAGTTAATGACAACGATGTTTTTATTAAAATCTCTTTGACTAAGTTGTGACTCATTTTGTTTTTTTTGGAAACATGTGACTCATTCTTTTAAATAAAAGTTTCAAAGCGATATAGAATATAAAATTATTCAAAGCTTTACTAATCAACTTCAATTTTATATAAGTTAGAGCACGTTTGGTTAAACCTTTTTTTTAAAATATATTTTGTTGTTGTTGAAAGTTTTGGTAATTTGCTAATTTTTTTAGTAAAATAAAACAAACACGCTGTCTTTGATGTATAATATGAAATTATGAATGGACCACTCAATTTATTGAATAACTTCATTATTAAATTTGGTGAAATTATTTCTGAAATAGCTGCACGTCCAGTTAATAATCCTGATAGTTAATTTTTATTTATTTTTCGTATTTAATGTTTTTATTCACCCATATATAGTTATGATTCTTAACTGCATGTCCAGCAATTTGAGAAACTATAATCCCTTATTAAAATCTTATAAAAAAATAATAAATTTTTAATCTGTTGGAAGAAATGTTATTGAAACGGTCCCATGAATTGCAAATAACTTTATTCCTTTTGGCATAATTCAGATGCTACAATAAATTAGATAAGAACTCAACAACACATATTCAGAGTGATTACCATGAGAAAAAAAGGAAGGACAAAAACAGGGCAATAAATAACAATTATTTATCATTTAACAGAGAGGCTGTGTTCATTGCTCAGTTTACTTGGACTGTCCATTTCTTTCTGTCCTCAATACTCCCAGTTTGAATTCCAACCAGTGTTTTGCGCAGTTTTTCACACAATGTTTCTGGTCCTGTTTTGAATTCAGTTCTGCATTGCCAATATTTTTATTGAATTTAGCACTATCATAAAGGTGCAAGATGGAACATAACTTTAAGATAAAAGGGAACATTAAATATTGAAGACAAAAGAGAAAATGATCAATTAGTTACCTAGTGTCATTATAGGTTACAGATGCAACAGAGTTAACAACCACTGCAGTTCCTGTGCAGAACACTTCATCAGCACCTAGCATTTTCTCCACTGGTATGGCACGTTCCATGACCTGAAAAATAATTCAGTTTTCAAAACCAAATATTTAGAAAATGAAACCATCAAGGTTGATTTACATGCTAAAAGATGAAGGCATGTTAAATACCTGATAACCCAAATCAATGGCAATCTCAATGATGGTTTTTCGTGTGATCCCAGGCAAGATGGTTCCATCTAATTCCGGGGTGAAGATAGCATTGCCCTTCACAAGATTAAAATAAAATATGGAATAAAAATTTAAACAAATTTTTGTTCAGAGATAATAAAATATTCTCCCCTTGGTTTGAACATTAAAGTTGTTAATAGTATTATTACATGGGAAATGTTTTTCTCATGTTGCATGAGACAATTACAAATTGTCTCATGCAACATACAAAAAAGTGGGTAGGACTCACTAAGGAGAGGAGAGAAAAAAAAAGTGAATTTCATCCACTTTTTTGTGTGTTGCATATTACACATTGTCTCATGCAACCTGAAAAAAAACATTTTCCTTATTATATACCCTATCATATACGTGCGTATGAAAGTTAAGGTTGTCGGTGTACCTTGACAACAAATACATTGCATGAAGAAGCCTCCTCTACATTTTTTCCAGTTGCTGAGTCCAAGAACAAGACATCAGAGAATCCATTAGCCTTTGCTGCGGTGGTTGCAGTATAAACCTACGGCATTGGAAATATATAAGGCTAATTAATACACTCAATGAAGAGCGAAAGAAGATACATATTAAATGGTGAAATAATGGTATTGCTATGCTTACTGGGGCATAATTGGTAACACTCTTGATCCCTCCGGTTCCACCATGGCCAGATATTGCTCGATAGAGTTTATCCTCAACTTTTAAGTTCAGTGGACCCTGCGATATAAAAGAAATTGGAAAATATGTGTATCATTTTAAAGAACGTAAAGTTGTATCATTTTAAATGAGAGAAAGAGATAGATAAAGGAAGAGAGAGTGGACAAAAAATATAAAGGTGTGGGTCCCACATCTTTGTGAGAGTGAAATGACATAAGTTGTATCATTTAAAAGGACAAATATTTTTCTCAAAGAAATTAGTAAGTTTCAATAAGTTTTGTAAGTTCTATATTTTCCTTATATTAACTTGTAAGTTCAATATTTTCTTTATATTAAAAGGGATAGGATATTCTAACAACCAATTAGTGTTATTACCAATTAATTTCACCAATAGATCGATTATGTTGATCCAACGGTTACATTTATTTCTATCTTTGTATGATTATGATTCCCCATATTTAATGTGAAAGCATTAAATATGAGAAATCATAACCATACATAGATGGAAATAAATATAACTGTTGGATCAACATAACCGATCTAATGGTGAAATTGATTGGTAGTAACACTAATTGGCATAGTTGTAAAACCCGGCCGGGTCGACCCGGAACCCGGTGAACCGGTCATCGGACCGGTTCGGGTCAAGCATTGGACTGGTCATGCATCGACCCGGTCAATCCCGGACAAAGTCGGCTAAACCCAGTCAGAATCGGTGACCAGGTGACCCAGTAACCCGGCCGGGTCATGCATTTAAAAAAAAAAAACCAAAAAACCAAAAATGTTTCATCTTGTCAAAAAAATGTAGAACTCATTTTAAATTTTTTTGTAATTTTATTTACTAGTATACTCTTCTACACTGACCTCAAATTTCAGCTTCTAATACTGAATCAATTCGCAGAATAATAAATTAAGAGAATGTGACATATATCGTTTTTAATGTAGTTGAATTTGAAAAATATGAGTTCAATGTCATTGAGAGGAATGTTTATGGGGATTCTGAGTTGCAATTTAAATTGACATAATAATAGCATGTATTTTTATTTATTTATGCTTCGTGTTTTTGAGTTTATTTAATGAACCTTGTTTAATTCATTTTAGATATGGAGAATATAATTGAATTTATATGTTTATATTTATATATATTTTATATATCTATATATATCCGAGTCAATCGGTCCGTCCAGTGACTCAGTAACCTAGTACCTCAACTGGGTCGATACCCGGGTCGAGTTTAATAACACTGCTAATTGATTGTTACAATATCCTTCTCCATATTAAAATACGAAAAATGTATATCATTTTAAAGGATGTAAAGTTGTGTCATTTTAAGTGAGAGAAAGAAATAGATAAATGAGGAAAGAGAGTGGACAAAAAATATAAAAGTGTGAATTCCACCTCTTTATGAGAGTGAAATGAATAAGTTGTATAATTTGAAAGGACAAACACATTTTTTATTAAAATATTCGTGTACTTTTAAAAGACACAATTTGTATCCTTTTAATATATTTACACTATGTCTTATTGATAAGACATCATGTTAATACGAAAAATTATTTTTTTTTTCTCCTTAATCACATCACCTGAGATTTAAAGTTAAAAAAGGAACAACTTTTCGTGGTAAGAGTAGGCCCGTTTGGATGGACTTTTTCTTTCTAAAAGTTGCTTTTTCTTAAGAAAAAAAAAGTACTTCTCTCTTTAAGTTTGTTTGGATGTCGGCTTTTAAAAAAAGTAGAAGTCACAAAAAAGTCAAAAACTTATTTTTTTTAGAAGCTAAAAATTTTAACTTCTACAAAAAGCAAAAGTCAAAAGTCAAATATTTTTTTCAAAAACTAAATATTTTTATAAAAATATAAATAATTTTAACTTTTATAAAAAGCACTTTTAAAATAAGAAAGAGATAAAAATTATTTTTTCTTGAAGTCAAAACAAACGGGCTCATCCTCTAACACTTTAAAAGGACACTTGTCCACTGCGCCCATATATAACTAAGTAAAAATCCATAGCTGACCTTGTAGTAGCAACTGACAGGGCAACAATAAACAAGAAATGTGTACTCAGGTGCTGGTGCCAAGCCTAACAAAGCTCCTGTTCCCATGAGCAACGGCCTAATATATAGTGACCCTTTCCCTGGAGGAGGCACCTGTTTGATTGAAATTTGAAGTTCAATTTTATTTTATTGTTTTCAACTTCTGATAGATGGAAAAGACCAAAGAGATGGACAGGAGGAAATACCCAACGTTTGTTGGCAAGAACTATCTGCTTTACAGCATTAACGAATTGGTCAATTGATGGGGATGGCATACACAATCTATCAGCACCTGCCTTCATGCGTAGAGCATTCTCCTCTGGTCGAAACACAAGTACACGTCCATCTTCAGTTCTATATGCTTTTAGCCCCTCAAAGATTCCCTAAAAACAACAATGTTTTGTGTTTGAGATTTTAGCTAGATTAGATTTGCGAACTATCATAAATTAACTATAAAATATACAACTTGGTACACTCTTTAACCTGTCCATAATTTAAGATCCCAGCAAAAGGACTAAGCTCTATGTTTCCATAGCGAGTGAGGGTTCCTTCTGAAAACTTATCTCCTTTTGCGCATTTCATGACATACATGTAATCTGTGGGAAGTACACTAAATCCAAGCTCATCCCAATTGATGTCAGCATTTGTTTCACCATTAGCCCTGTTTTTTCAGACAAGCAGGTGATCTAAGGTTTCCAAATCAGCAATATTATTATCTAGGGATACGATATTCTAACAATCAAATAAAGTTATTATCAACATTATTATTATATTTTAATAGTTGATTTTTGTTAATCAACTGTTATTATTTATTGTGAATTAATAATTAATTAATAAGTTTGATTTGTGAAAATAATAACCGTTGATTAGCGAAAATCAATGATTAAAATATGATAATAATATTATTTGATTGTTACAATATTATATCTCTATTATTAAAAACAAAAAATAAAAACCTAGGTGATGAATGTCTACTAAGAATTTGGAACGGAATGATAAATTTTATGTCATTGTGTACCTTTCAGAACCGTCTTCCCAGTTCCCTAAAATAGAAGGGGGAGCCATTTCTGCAAAGAAAAATCATGTCAATAGGTGTGCAAGACTCGAGACATATGTCTTATTCATTTCTAATTTTGATACATTGCTATAAATACAACGTCATTAGTTTTGATGAACAGACAATTATTCCTATATTCTATAAAATGTTTTTTTTTTTTGAGATATTCTAATTGATTATTGCTTTGTGATTAGTCTGATTCGGGACAGATTCTGAAATTAAGATTTTTAAACACTCATAAAGACAATAATGTGGAAGATCAAACACAATCTCACTTCCAATTGCTGAGTTTCCTAACGCCAAACTACTATTATTTAGTATATTCTATAAACAATGCGACGATTCCGAGAAACAAAAATATCAATGCCAGCTCATTTGGCAAATATGTGACAGATTGTAATGAAGCTTTACATCACCTATCAATTTCTAGCAGTGAAAATCGAATCTAAATCTTTCACCAATTAATCTCAATTTTAAGGCCAGTACTTTCAATCGATATTAACTTTGAACATTTTCATACATATAAAATGAAAAAATAAAATAAAAATGGAAGCATTGGTACCTTAAAGAGTTGTGTAAAATCTGCTGCCAACTTTATAGGCACCCTAATGTTGGGGTACAATGTAGAAAGGAGAAGAGAAATTAAGATAAATGAGAATGGTTTTGCAGAAATGGGAATGGGATATGATCACTGAGGATCTGATAGTGATGTTGTTAAGAGCCATGATGTGGAGGCCTTTTATATAGGAAAACTGAAACCGCATTGAATAAAATAACAAGTTGCAAAGCATGGCTCACATGGATGTGTTAATTAATATCATGTGTATCTTCATTCTCACTGAACAGTCAAGTATATATTATAGTCTAGATTTCAATACGATTTGATATTTTTTTTTCCCTGTGAAAGGCTTTATAAGGGCAGCAGTTTTTTCTACATTAAATCTTTTTTTTTTAAACTATTTTAAGGACACTGCGTTGGAATTTTTTACATTTTTATTTAAATTGATTTATCATTTAATTTGAAAATTAAATATCATATTTGAAACCCCGAAAACAAAACTATAATTGATTTGTAAGTAAATTTTTATATTTGAAACATATTTAAAATGAATGAATTATTTTTTATTTATATACCTTATTTTTCTTACTTATCAGCAGTGTTATTAAACTCGACCCGGGCATCGACCCAGTTGGGGTACTGGGTTACTGGGTCACTGGTCGGACTGATGGGTCACTGGTCAGACCGGTTGACCCGGATATATATAGATATATAAAAATATGAGCATATAAATTTAATTATATTCTCCAAATCTAAAATGAATTAAACAATGTTCATTAAATAAACTCAAAAATAAGAAGCATAAATAAATAAAAATGAATGCTATTACTATGTCAATTTAAATTGCAACTCAGAATCCCCATAAACATACCTCTCAATGACATTAAACTCATTTTTTTCAAATTCAACTACATTAAAATGACATATATTACATTCTCTTAATTTATTATTCCGTAAATTGTTTCAGTATTAGAAGCTAAAATTTGAGGTCATTGTAGAAGAGTATACTAATAAATAAAATTACAAAAAGTTTTAAGATGAGTTCTACATTTTGTTTGACAAGATGAAACAATTTTGGTTTTTTTTTTTTTAAATACATGACCCGACCGGGTCACTGGGTCACCGGGTTTGGTCGATTTTATCTGAATTTTGATCGGGTTTGACCGGGTCGATGCGTGACCGGTCCAATGCTTAACCTGAACCGGTCTGATGACCGGTTCGTCGGGTTCCAGGTCGACCCATCCGGATCGGGCCGGGTTTTACAACTATGCTTATCAGAGCTAAAATGAAGAAATTAATAAGGACTAAATTTTTAATTAATAATAAAATTAAAATTAAATTCAAATTCAAATCATATCCAATTTGATTAGGTTTCCTTTTTTTATTTAGTAAACAATTTGAGTAGATTTCTACATACAGCTAAACTCGCAAGAATCTCATAATCATATCAATTATACTCTAATCTTATAACCTTAAAAACAAATTATTAAATATATTGATTCCAAACACTCGTTTTGAGAAATTAAATAGTCACATTGTGAATTAAATCTTTAATAATAGGCAATGATTCATTTGATTTGATTTGAATTTATTCGGTTCTGAGAAATTAATTCACTCAAATTGTGATTGAGATTTAGGAAAATATGAAAGGATTTGATTTCATTTGATTTGAATTAAAAATCAAATTCTGTGTTTGGAACCAATTATAAAAAATTGAGATTTGAAGAAATCAAATGTTTTTATTTAAAGCTCAAAATGAATTGATTTGACTTTATTAAATAAGTTATAAGAATGATCCAGTTTTAGCATGATTGCGCATGGAAAATGCACCGAAAAGATTGTATCTTTTTATTAGTTGTTTTTGTTCCCTATGATTTTATAATCATAATAAGTGATAACCAATTTTGATGAACCCATATGCATGCCAGAGGAGCGAAGAAACTTTTTAATATGCCCCCATATGCGTTCACCTGCCCATCCTCTTTTAACCATTTTTAAACCCTTACGTACAGTCAATCCCGGAAATTTCTAAATCTGAATCTTAATCACACAATAATTATAAGAAAAGGTGGGTGTCATTTTAAAGAACTAAAGCTATGTTATTTTATGAGAGAGAAAGAGATAGATAAAGGAGGAGAGAGTGGACAAAAAAAATAAAGGTGTGGGTCCCACCTCTTTGTGAGAGTAAAATGACATAAATTGTATCATTTAAAAGGACAAATACTTTTTCCATAATTATAATACTAATAGTTGTTAGAATTTTTATAGAATTTAAATGTTACGAATAAGAAGTTGAGTGTAAAAAAATATTTTTTCACAGTCAAACCGATATAATTATTCACTGGTGAACAAACACGATTATTAACAGTTGAACAGACACGTCTCGTTATTGTTAATATATAGGCACCATTCATGGTGACCAAGTAAGCCATACTTGGTCAATTGGTCCTGTTATTTGCTAGACAGTAAGCCTACCAAGAACTTGTAAAACCAAGTATATCATACAGAGAGGAAAGGCTTCAGGGGGCATGTGGGCAGATTCATGATCGTCTCCAGCTTTAACTATAACCACCGTGGTAGTTAAAATTCTGATTTAAATCTTAGAATTTATGATTTTACGATTTTTTTTAATCAAAACGATTGTACCAAAATTCCAAACGCTTTTACGATTTTATGATTTTTCTTACGTTAAGATTTTACGTTTTGCGATTTTTTATCCTCTTTCTGATTTTAGGTAAAATTTCAATTTTAACTACCATGATAACCACAATAGAAAGCTCTTCAATCTGCTGGCCCAAGGAACTCGTGAACTGATCAAAAGTTCAAAGCTGCGAAAGATCGATTTGAATTTTTGATGGACAAAGGTTTATTACGTGATTGACTAATGCGTAAAAATTTAGATGATCTTGCATGTAAAATTGCATTGTATAATTTATTTAGCAAGCATTTAATAAAAAAATTATTTGATTTTTTACAGAAGTATATATGAATATCAGTCTCTATTTTATCATATTTGATAACCATGATATTGTTAATACATAAAGGTCGCCACTGGGCACGTTCATCCAGCCCACGCCATCATGTAACCAAAACAAAAAATTCTGTACAGTGAAAGCTACATGTTCTGCGTAAGGCAGTGTCCAATCAGGATTGGATGATTGATCTATAATTCAGGTGCCTTCTCTGGATACCTATGAGTTAGGTATCTTGGGGACAACAAATCACACACTATCTGATGGCCTTAGCCTTGGGAGAGGTGTAGGCTGCGTAAATAGGTAAAAAGAGATTAGGTCATACCTGTAACTTTTAGTTCCTATTTATAATGCTTACTTGTGGGCCTGTGCTGATCATGGGCCTCATTCTGGTCCATAACACTACCGAATCGAACATATATCCATCCATGATTTCAATCGGAATTTGTTTGAGACAAAGTTTAAATCCTTGATTCAAATAAATCCTTAGTAGGTCAATTATCAACTGAGCTACCATTGAGGGGTTTAAATAACTATTTACGACAAAGATATTTTAGACTATTTAATTAGTTGGTATCTTTATTTACTAATCCATCTCAACCGTCTAACTTCCGGGTTTTGCCTTACTTTCAGAACAGCAATTTCATCAAATCTTAACTAACGTAATTTTGTACAATATATAGTCATCAAAACAAAAGTAAGCGGATATAAACTTTGGGGGAAAAAAACTAAACTTTTCACGTTGCATAAGAAGTCTTTTCTTCTACTACTCTTACTTTAATATTTGTATTAGCCACTTTTCTATTTTTTACTTTTTTTTTTTTATCAAGATGAGCCCACTCATATCTCTCTTATTAGGAAAGTTCTAACTTCTCATACAACAAGAGAAGTTGCAAGCGCATAAATGGAGGAGAAAATCAAATGAGGATAGTTTAGTTAACACATGAGACCTAAATAGGAGAAAGTGAGAGTATATGTTCGATCATTCCCAATATCATTTTTTATAAAGGTTTAAAGCCTTAATCCTAGACTCGGTCCGAAGATAATTATTTTTTGTAGAAGATATATGTGAT